TCATTCCCTCCACTGGCCTCCATTCAGTGTCCTCCACCCCTCGTCTCCACCCTCCTATCTCTGTCATTCCCTCCACTGGCCTCCATTCAGTGTCCTCCACCCCCCTCTGTCATTCCCTCCACTGGCCTCCATTCAGTGTCCTCCACCCCCCTCTGTCATTCCCTCCACTGGCCTCCATTCAGTGTCCTCCACCCCCCTCTGTCATTCCCTCCACTGGCCTCCACTCAGTGTCCTCCACCCCTCTCTGTCATTCCTCACACCCGTGTCCTCTCTGTCATTCCCTCCACTGGCCTCCATTCAGTGTCCTCCACCCCTCTCTGTCATTCCCTCACTGGCCTCCATTCAGTGTCCTCCACCCCCCTCTGTCATTCCCTCCACTGGCCTCCATTCAGTGTCCCTCCACCCCTCTCTGTCATTCCCTCCACTGGCCTCCATTCAGTGTCCTCCACCCCTCTCTGTCATTCCCTCCACTGGCCTCCATTCACCCCCCTCTGTCATTCCCTCCACCCTCCTGTCATTCACCCTCCACTGGCCTCCATTCAGTGTCCTCCACCCCCCTCTGTCATTCCCTCCACTGGCCTCCATTCAGTGTCCTCCACCCCTCTCCACCACCCCCTCTGTCCACCTCTCAAATACACCTCCCTTCCTCACTGGCCTCCATTCAGTGTCCTCCACCCCCTCTGTCATTCCCTCCACTGGCTCCCGATTGACTTCTCCGGACCCCCTCTGGAACTCCCCCTGCCGCATAAAATTCAAACTCCTAAACTGACATACAAAGCCATTCATAACTCCGCCCCAAACTACCTCACCGACCTGATACCCAAATACCACCCAACCTGTAATCTTCGCTCCTCACAAGACCTCCTATTCTCTAGCTCCCTGGTCTCCTCCTCCCATTGCCCGTCTCTAGGACTTCTCCGGGAGCCTTCCCCCATCCTCTGGAACTCCCTGCCCCAATCCATCAGACTGTCACCTTCCCTCCTCACCTTAAGGCACACCCTGAAAACCCACCTCTTCAGGGAAGCCTACCCCACCCTCACCTAACAGCCGATCTCCTCCCTCCTACCACTCCATCCCCCACAGCCACTTCCTGGAAGTACCTCTACCCCCTCCCTCCTAGATTGTAAGCTCCCAGGATCAGGGCCCTCGAACCCCTCGTGTATTGTATTGTTACCTGTCTTGTCTCATGTACTGTCCCCCATTGTAATGTACAGCGCTGAGCAAGACTGAAGGGGAGGAGCCAGTACACCTGTGCAAGACTGAAGGGGAGAGCCGGTAACCTGTGCAAGACTGAAGGGGAGGAGCCGGTACACCTGTGCAAGACTGAAGGGGAGGAGCCGATACATCTGTGTAAGACTGAAGGGGAGGAAGACCTGTACAAGACTGAAGGGGAGGAGCCGGTACACCTGTGCAAGACTGAAGGGGAGGAGCCTGTACACCTGTGCAAGACTGAAGGGGAGGAGCCGGTACACCTGTGCAAGACTGAAGGGGGAGGAAGGGTACACCTGTGGAAGACTGAAGGGGAGGGAGCCCTGTACACCTGTGTACACCTGTGCAAGACTGAAGGGGAGGAACCTGTAACCTGTACAAGACTGAAGGGGAGGAGCCTGTACACCTGTGCAAGACTGAAGGGGAGGAACCTGTAACCTGTACAAGACTGAAGGGGAGGAGCCTGTACACCTGTGCAAGACTGAAGGGGAGGAACCTGTAACCTGTACAAGACTGAAGGGGGGAGGAGCCAGTACACCTGTGCAAGACTGAAGGGGAGGAACCTGTAACCTGTACAAGACTGAAGGGGGGAGGAACCTGTAACCTGTAACAAGACTGAAGGGGAGGAGCCAGTACACCTGTGCAAGACTGAAGGGGAGGGAACCTGTAACCTGTACAAGACTGAAGGGGAGGAACCTGTGCAAGTGAAGGGGAGGAACCTGTAACCTGTACAAGACTGAAGGGGAGGAGCCTGTACACCTGTGCAAGACTGAAGGGGAGGAAACCTGTAACCTGTACAAGACTGAAGGGGAGGAGCCTGTACACCTGTGCAAGACTGAAGGGGAGGAACCTGTAACCTGTACAAGACTGAAGGGGAGGAGCCTGTACACCTGTGCAAGACTGAAGGGGAGGAACCTGTAACCTGTACAAGACTGTACACCTGTGGCAAGACTGCAAACTGAAGGGGAGGAGCCGGTACACCTGTGCAAGACTGACACCTGTGCAAGACTGAAGGGGAGGAACCTGTAACCTGTACAAGACTGAAGGGGAGGAGCCTGTACACCTGTGCAAGACTGAAGGGGAGGAACCTGTAACCTGTACAAGACTGAAGGGGAGGAGCCTGTACACCTGTGCAAGACTGAAGGGGAGGAACCTGTAACCTGTACAAGACTGAAGGGGAGGAGCCGGTACACCTGTGCAAGACTGAAGGGGAGGAGCCGCTATACCTGTGCAAGACTGAAGGGGAGGAGCCGGTACACCTGTGCAAGACTGAAGGGGAGGAGCCTGTACACCTGTGCAAGACTGAAGGGGAGGAACCTGTAACCTGTACAAGACTGAAGGGAGGAGCCTGTACACCTGTGCAAGACTGAAGGGGAGGAAGCCTGTACACCTGTGCAAGACTGAAGGGGAGGAACCTGTAACCTGTGCAAGACTGAAGGTGAGGAGCCTGTACACCTGTGCAAGACTGAAGGGGAGGAGCCGGTACACCTGTGCAAGACTGAAGGGGAGGAACCTGTAACCTGTGCAAGACTGAAGGGGAGGAGCCTGTACACCTGTGCAAGACTGAAGGGGAGGAACCTGTAACCTGTACAAGACTGAAGGGGAGGAGCCTGTACACCTGTGCAAGACTGAAGGAGGAACCTGTAACCTGTGCAAGACTGAAGGGGAGGAGCCGGTACACCTGTGCAAGACTGAAGGGGAGGAGCCTGTACACCTGTGCAAGACTGAAAGGGAGGAACCGGTACACCTGTGCAAGACTGAAGGGGAGGAGCCTGTACCTGTGCAAGACCTGTGCAAGACTGAAGGGGAGGAGCCTGTACACCTGCAAGCAAGACTGAAGGGGAGGAGCCGGTACACCTGTGTGCAAGACAAGACTGAAGGGGAGGAACCTGTAACCTGCACAAGACTGAAGGGGAGGAACCGACCTGCCGGTGAAGGGGAGGAACCTGTGCAAGACTGAAGGGGAGGAACCCGTAACCTGCACAAGACTGAAGGGGAGGAGCCGGTACACCTGTGCAAGACTGAAGGGGCAAGATCTGAAGTCAGATTTAAGGTTACGGCAGGGTTTCTCAACCAGGGTTCCTCTAGAGGTTTCTTGGGGTTCCTTGAACATGAAGCAATTTCTGCTTTCTCAGATGAATAACCACAGACATCATTGATATTTTTAGCCATCTTTAAGGGGGGGGGGGTCTTCCCAGTGACCATCACACTAATGTACTGTGAGGCTTAGATATAACAATTATTAGCTGGGGTTCACTGAAGACAAGAAGCTATTTCAAGGGTTCCTCCATGATAAAACGTTAGAGAAAGGCTGGGTTACGATAAAGTTTAGGAAGCATTGTCCATGGTCCATCTGCATCAGTACTTTCTCCAGAGTCAGTGCTCCCCATGTGGGAGATCCTCTGAGCTCCGTCCAGCTCTCCGTCTGGCAGGTCTGGGATCTCCTTTGGGATGAAATTTATACGAGATGATGAGTACCTCAGGGAGATCCCTTCCGGTTCCTCCTGCCACTTATCAGGTCAGAGAAATCTCTGCAGAGTAAATGTGACTGCCAACTATTTAATGAGGAGGTCCCCGGAGCCTCCACCATCCCCAGTGTGGAAACCAGATTCCTCTGAATGGAATAATGAGGTGTAAGAGCTCCAACCATGACCTGGAACGGTAGACATCTGACTTGTATTCTACCAAGCTGATGTCACGGATACGTCTCACCCAGAGAGCCCCCTGAGCTCCGGGTCTCTTCTACAGCTGGCAAGCGGCAAATAAAATGTCCTACAAAATGGAACAAAGACCAACGCCAGAAACATAAAATGGAACCGCTTAGAACTAAAAAAATAAAAAATTCCAGATATAATAATTGTCCTAAACAACCTGATCCTTGTTTCACCATCTTAGATATTAGCAAGGCCGTCGTTTTCTTTCTGGAAAGGTTTTCCTGTTATTTGATGGCACACCACACATCACGTTTTGTAGATCAATAGAAATCAGACAAATGCATTTTCACACCTACATTTTTTTTTAGAAAACTTTTTTTTTTTTTATCGAATAATCTGGTTAGGTCAAAAAGTTTGAATACAAAGTATATTTTATTTTCTGAATGTAATAGATACTGTAGATAGAAATAGACTATATTGGCCAAGACATCTGAGGACCCCTGACCATCACACCTACAGGTCCTTGAAGAAGACATCTGTGAACCCCTGACCATCACACCTACAGGGCCTTGAAGAAGACATCTGTGGACCCCTGACCATCACACCTACAGGGCCTTGAAGAAGACATATGTGAACCCCTGACCATCACACCTACAGGGCCTTGAAGAAGACATCTGTGGACCCCTGACCATCACACCTACAGGGCCTTGAAGAAGACATCTGTGAACCCCTGACCATCACACCTACAGGGCCTTGAAGAAGACATCTGTGGACACCTACAGTGCCTTGAAGAAGACATGTGGACCCCTACAGGGCCTTGAAGAAGACATATGTGGACCACTAAAGGGCCTTGAAGAAGACATATGTGGACCCCTGCAGGGCCTTGAAGAAGACATCTGTCGACCCCTACAGGGCCTTGAAGAAGACATACGTGGGCACCTACAGTGCCTTGAAGAAGACATCTGTGGACACCTACAGTGCCTTGAAGAAGACATATGTGGACCCCTACAAGGCCTTGAAGAAGACATACGTGGACACCTACAGTGCCTTGAAGAAGACATCTCTGAACACCTACAGGGCCTTGAAGAAGACATATGTGGACCCCCACAGGGCCTTGAAATGTCCCCCATGTTGTCATGTTACAATGATTGGGACATCTGTCAGGGGACCCCTACAGGGCCTTGAAGAAGACATGTGGACCCCTACAGGGCCCTTCAAAAAAGACATATGTGGACACCTACAGGGCCCCCTTGAAGTTTCCAAAGACATCCGCCCCTGGATGTGGACCCCTACAAGGCCTTGAAGAAGACATACTGGTGGACACCTACAGAGCCTTAAAGAAGACATCTGGTGGCACCTACAGGGCCTTGAAGAAGTCCCCCCACCCTAGAAATGTCTCCCCCATTTTGCCATGTTACAATGTATTCCCCTGTCTGGAGAGCGTCTGGAAACAGCAATTTTCAGGCCTGGCCACAGATTCTCCATTGGATTTAGGTCTGGACTGTGACTGAACTACAACCTCCACCAAGGCCTGCAGGAGAAAGGAGGAGAATGCAGGACTTTTTCATTGGCAATCTACGGGAGGACTGGGAGAGCAGCTTGAGGCAAGAGAGCATGAGGACCTGCTGCAGCATTCTATGCCTATTTCCAGCAAGTGCCAAGCATGACCCATGTGCTGAGGGACTAAGTCACTGCCAGGATACTTTCCTTGCTTTGCTGAGGACTGGAGTTGCCCAGGCAACCTAAAAGTGAGTGGACATCTGACTAGAGAGACCGCTGCTGCTGTGTGGTTGGACTTGGATAGAAGGTCTTGCAGCATACCCTATTTGTTTGAGCCCTTAAGGGACTGACTATACAGCTGCCTAGTAGCCTTATTGCTGCCTGCGGGTTTGACTGGGAGTGTCCTCATTCAAATGGGCCCCAACACTAGCCAGCTGAAGAGTCAGGACTAGATTGCCCTTCACAGTTACTACATAGAGCTCTTTGCCCATTGCTTAGTTTCAGAAGTACCCCTCAGGGGACATTGCACCATGTACTAGCCTTTCCCTTAGAGAAAGTATTGTTATCCCCACCGCAGTCACTGCTTATATTCCACATTTATTGCTGACTTTCCCGATTTATGAGTCGATTCCAATCTAATTGTAAGAGGAGCTTCATGGTTGGCTAGATTTGGCACCAAGAGCACAACCCCTCTGCCCCTGTCCTGCTAGAACACCATCCATCCTGCTGAAGCCAAACCCTTCACCGTGTTGTGCCCACTACATGCCAGAGGCCTCCACACAACTTTCCTGGCCATTGACCTTCATATCCCCAGTGGAAGGAACGTCCTCACATAAAAGTCGTTTTGCTGCACTTTGCTGGTGGAATTCAGGAAATGGCATAACAGTCGCATCACATCCACTGCCATTCTGGAATCCCTTGACATTACACAGTCACATGTTACATAGTTAGTCTGGCTGAAAAAAGACACAAGTCCATCCAATTCTATCACGTACCTGACCAGTGGAGGGGCAGTGTGACAGAGGCAGGGGGACAAGTGGGGGGGCAGTGCGACCGGGGCAGCGGGACATGTGGAGGGGCACTGTGACGGGGGCAGCGGGACAGGAGTTGGCGGGCAGTGTGATGGGGGCAGTGGGACAAGTGGGGGGGCAGTGTGATGGGGCAGCAGGACAAGTGGCAGGGGCAGTGTGACAGGGCAGCGGGACAAGTGGGGGGGCAGTGTGATGGGGCAGTGGGACAGGAGTGGGGGGGGGCAGTGTGACGGGGGCAGCGGGATAAATGGTGGGGGCAGTGTGACGGGGGGGGGGAGCGGGATAAATGGTGGGGGCAGTGATGGTGGCAGTGTGACGGGGGCAGTGTGACGGGGCAGCGGGACAGGAGTGGGGGAGCAGTGTGATGGGGCAGTGTGACAAGTGGGGGTGGGGGCAGTGTGACGGGGGGGCAGCAGCGGGACAAGTTGCATGGGCAGTGTGACGGGGCAGCGGGACAAGTGGGGGGGGCAGTGTGACGGGGCAGAGTGGGACAGGCAGGACAAGTGGGGGGGCAGTGTGATGGGGCAGCAGGACAAGTGGGCAGTGTGGGGGCAGGGGACAAGTGGGGGGGCAGTGTGTGACCGGGGCAGCGGGACAAGTGGGGGGGGCAGTGTGACCGGGGGCAGCAGGACAAGTGGGGGGGCAGTGTGAACGTGTGCATGGGGCAGGGGACAGTGTATGGGGGGGTGGGGGGGCAGTGTGACCGGGGCAGCGGGACATGTGGAGGGGCAGTGTGACGGGGCAGCAGGACAAGTGGGGGGGGGCAGTGTGACGGGGGCAGCGGGACAGGAGTTGGGGGGCAGTGTGACGGGGGCAGTGGGACAAGTGGGGGGGGGCAGTGTGATGGGGGCAGTGGGACAGGTGGAGGGGCAGTGTGATGGGGGGCAGCAAGGACAAGTGGGGGGGCAGTGTGACAGGGCAGCGGGACAAGTGGGGGGGCAGTGTGACGGGGCAGCGGGACAGGAGTGGAGGGGGGGGCAGTGTGACGGGGGCAGCGGGATAAATGGCGGGGGCAGTGTGACGGGGGCAACGGGAAAGGAGTGGGGGAGCAGTGTGATGGGACAGTGTGACAAGTGGGGCAGTGTGACGGGGGGCAGCGGGACAAGTTGGGGGGCAGTGTGACGGGGGCAGCGGGACAAGTGGGGGGGCAGTGTGACGGGGGCAGTGGGACAGGAGTGGGGGGCAGTGTGACGGGGCAGCGGGACAAGTTGGGGGGGCAATGTGACCGGGGCAGCGGGACAAGTGGGGGGGCAGTGTGACCGGGGGCAGCGGGACAAGTGGGGGGGCAGTGTGACGGGGGGCAGCAGGACAAGTGGGGGGGCAGTGTGATGGGGCAGCGGGACAAGTGGGGGGGGGGCAGTGTGACCGGGGCAGTGGGACAAGTGGGGGGGCAGTGTGACGGGGCAGCGGGACAAGTGGGGGGGCAGTGTGACCGGGGCAGTGGGACCAAGTGGGGGGGCAGTGTGATGGGGGCAGTGGGACAAGTGGGGGGGCAGTGTGACAAGGGGGAGTGGGACAAGTGGCTGGGGGGGCAGTGTGACGGGGCAGCGGGACAAGTGGGGGGCAGTGTGACCGGGGCAGTGGGACAAGTGGGGGGGCAGTGTGACGGGGCAGTGGGGACAAGTGGCAAGGGGGCAGTGTGTGACCGGGGCAGTGGGACAAGTGGGGGCAGTGGGGTGCAGTGACCGGGGCAGCGGGAAAGGAGTGGGGAAGCCCCAGTCCTCCAAGCTCTTACCTGTCCAGCAGCGCCCCCTCCAGATGGTTGTAAGGATCACTCCAGAATGTGGTAGCTGTGCCAGTGTCCCATCTCCACCAGGATCTCCGGCAGATGCTGCAACAAAAATCTCCTCCACC